TTCCCTATTTAATTAACCTTGCTGATCTATTAAGAGAAAAATAATGCTGATGAGAGAAAACAAAGTTGTCAACAGTTGCCAAAAGAGAAGTTCGTTCATTCCTGGGCAAGGCGCTGCCCTGGGAATGGCCGGCACACACTCACCATGAAGCCCTGCAGGGTCCGGTAGTGCGGGTCCAGCAGGAGGCTCGCCACTGAGCACACTTGGGCAGTCCGGTCCCAGCCGTCGGAGCAGTGGACGAGCACGCTTGCCCCTTCCTCTGAAACAGCCTAGAAACAAGCATCGGCAGTCACACGGAATAGCCAGAAAAACAGAACTCTCTCATAGAACTGGGTTTGGTTATGTCTTACAGCAAGAAAGAGGCAAAACATAAGGAAACAAACAAAAACCCTCTTCATTCCTTCATTCTTCATTCATTCATATTGAGTGCTTACGCACACCCAGCGAGGGCAGAGCCAAGGAGTGGTTGGTGCCAAGAGCTGCAGCTTTCCCTTCCTTTAACCCAGGAGCCACCACTCAAATTCACATCGAATAAACATACTGGGGTCTTCTGAAAGTTTACAGAAAATAAGTTTCATGAAAAAACTATGCGTGGATTTCGAGTTTTTTTGGTACCAAAAATTCTATTTTTTCCATGAACTTTCTGAAGTTCCCATCATATGTACTAAATGAAAACATCCTTCCTACGCAGACGTGCCTTCACAACATTCCAGCCTATCTTCAACCCTTCTTCCTCTCCTCTGGGCTTCCACATTATGTCTTAACTGAAATGCTAGAGTTGCTGCTAGCTCCAACCCTTTCCCAAAAGGAAAAGATAGAGAAATTATAAAACTATGATGTTACAGATAAAAGGACGAGAGTCTGGTAAGGGATGCAGGATCAGGGGAAGGAGAAGAAAACAAAGGTAAAAATTACACCAGGAAATTTCTGCCAGGACTACTTATTTGCTATTGAAAATGGACACACGTTTTAGCCGAGTATCTTGGCAAGAAACAGAAATTGGGAAACATGGTAGAGATTTTCATCATCATGTTTATCTGACTCGAAATTTTATTGTTCCTCATTCCTTTGTTTTCTGTCTCCCACACCAGAATGTAAGTTCTGTGAAGGAAGAGACGACCTGATTTTTTCAGCACTGCATCTGCAGCACCTCGAATAGTGCCTGGCCCTAAATAAATACTCGTTGAATAAATGATTATCTAATAAAGAGGAACACACCATTTCATCAGAAAAGATACATTCTCTTTAGATATAAATCTAAACTTATATAAAATGAAAACCAACAAAATAGATAACGCATTTAAATATAACTTGAAATAATTTGAGAGTTGTAGCAAGATTCTTTGTATTTCAGCCTAGGATCTTCCTACCAGCTACAGGAACACGGCTTTTGCTTATGCCAGGAGCAAAAAGAAGCTCTTGGGTATAAGAGTTTTATCCTCTACTTCTGAACTCACATTTGGGTGTACGAGATCTCCTATAAAAAAGTTCTTTCCTCTTCCAGCATTAGGACTAATGGAAGAGAGAATACTGTGAACCGTTAATATTTGACCACTGTGCTGACACAATCTCACAGTGAAAATCATCTTCAGAGGGTAAAACTACATGGAGGTCTGTAAACCCAGCTACTTGTTCAACACCATGGAGCTGGGTACAACAGGAACAGAAGGTGAGGAAATACAATTGTCATTTTGAAGTCGCAGCGGCTTGCTGGTCTACCTCAAGCTTATTTTCTCTGCCATCACATACCTTTGCGATAAATATTCCTGCATCCAAGATGGCTTTGATGTGCCTTAGCCAGCCACAGTTCTCCAGACCCCACAGGAAATCGCTCATGGAAGGAGATTTAAGTTCACACACTGTAAAATCCATCACATAAGGTGAAATTAGGGCAAGCTCTCATTTTACATGTGATTATATTTTATGGGTAGTTTATTCACGATTCCTTTGTTATAGGAAATATTTTCTGGAAGACTCAAGTCAAAATGAATACCCAAGTTCATTACACTTGATTCTATGGAACCATTTCAAGAAAAGCTTTTCTACCTTCCTTGGTCATAGAGGATGTTGGATCTGTTAACAAATATTACACCTGCAAAGTTTAAAAAACTAACATTAATGAAAACCAGAGAATGTGAAAATAGTAAAGGTCAGGTAGAAAACATCTATTTACCTTTCTAGCAAAGATATCAAAATGGACCACAAAGGGGCACATGAGTTAAGAATGCTATGAAAGAAAAATCATGTAACTCCTGCACTCCCCAGCTGTAGAACTCTCCATCACCGGACCACTGCAGATCAGAACTGCTGTGAAAACACTAAACACAGCCACCCTGCAAGTCTTCAATGGAAGCGCCCAAACTCCTCTTGCCAACACCCTCCCCGCACCTACCTCATGGGAGTAAAGCTTGTGAACATAAAGATAATATCTGCTCTTCTGATCCAATCCTAGCCTGTCATGTTTAGGGTTTTTCTTTTGATTGAAAAGTTACTAAAACCTAGGATCTATGTGTACACAACTGAGGCAGGTGTTTAAACATTTCTTTAATCTCATCACGAGCAACCTTCATCTCGAGAGCTTATCTTTTATTTAACATAATGAAAAAGCTTTAGAGCTTATGTTCTGACTACTTATCATAAATACTACATTCCTGAGTTTACAGGTTTTATACCCAGAAAGCCCTTTTGAAGTGTCTTATAAATCATCCAGTAAAATTAAATAATGATGCATAGATTTTGGTGTTAGCATCAAGTGTATTTCATTATGCTCTGGGATATAGTCGAAACATGTGGGAGTAGGAAGCCCTGTTTTCTACTCCCAACTTTATCAGTAATTAGCTGTGTAATATTGTACATGTTTAAATCTTTGAGCCTCAATTTTGTCTTTTTTTTTTTTTTTTTTTGAGAGGTTTTTGCTGTAGGGCATGTGCACTCGCCAGAAAGACAGAGATACAAAATGAGATATCACTCCCCAGGGGGATGGCCATGCTGCAATCCCTTCTCCTCCATTCTCCTCTCGGGATCTTGGGCACGCACGCACACGCACCCAGCATGAGTTTAAGCCACCGGGTCCGGGACTTGAACCGCGGTCGACTACGTGGGAGTTCAGCAACATAGCCGTTACGCTAACTGCTGGTCCCTCAATTTTGTCATTTTAAAAATAGGAAGTAGTAGTGGTAGTCAGACATGGAAATGGTCATGTGACAAAAATATGTATGTGAAATAAACTGATATTTTAATAAGGTAAAAAGAAGTAATAAAATATTGATGGTATACGAAATTATATCCTTCAAATTCTAGACCCCAGATTGACTTTGCTAACTCTTCATAAGCATTGTACATTTGGGATACATGGCCACTACTAACAGTGTTCCATTTATTAACTGTCCTGCCCTGTTACATGTCAAATAACATGGCTTTGTGCAAGGTAAGAGCCACACAAAGAAAGGATAAGAAGTTAGATTCTAAATCATAGATGACAACAATGATAAAGAAAGTAACACTGGAATTCCCAGCAAAAGTCTCTACTTAAGAAGGCAATGGGTAGGACCAAAAGTCCCTACTTCAGAAACAACAGATGGCCTAATGGTTACATCACTGGACTCCCATGTAGTTAACCGCAGTCTGAGTCTTGAACCTGGTGACTTAAAACTCATGCTGGGTGTGTGTGCATGTGTGCCCCAAATCCTAAAAGAAAGAGTAGAGAAGGGACTGAAGAGTGACCATACCCTTGGGGGAAGGGAGTCATTTCTTACTTTATATCTCTCTGTCTCTCTCTGGTGAGTGCACACACCCTAACAAAAATCTCTTAAAAAAAAAAAAAAAAAGGAAAGAAAAGAAAAGAAAAGAAAAAGAAAACAATGGGTTAGCCCCACAGCCTCATGGTTAAAGGAGCTAGATTCTATATGGCCCAAAGTGATTCAAATCCTGACCCGGGAAGCTTAAAACACATGCTGCGCATGTGTGCGTGTGTGTCCAAAATGGAGAAATGGAGAAGGGACTATGGTGTGATCACACCCTTTCAGGGGGAATGTCTTCCCTTTCTCTAGTGAGTGCATGCACCTGTTGGCAATTAAAAATAGAAAAAAGAAAAGTAAATCACATTATAAATATGTTTAGGAAAAAGCTATGGTTTGACTCTCCCCTCCAAAACTCATGAAAACTGCCCTCAGGAGTGGATTAAGCTGTTAGTCTAGAAGTGGGTTAGTTTTGAGGGAGTCGGTCTCCTTGGTCCCTGTCTTAGACCCTCTCTCCGTCATCTTCTCTCCCTATGCCATGCTTTCTACCGTATCATGACAGAGCAAGAAAGCCCTTACCAGAAGCAGCCCCTTGATCATGAACTTCTCAACCTCCAGAACCGTCAGATAATACATTTATTATAAATTATTACTCGGTCTCTGGTATTCTGTTACAGCAGCAAAAAAAAAAAAAGGGACTAAGACAGCAAGATTCCAAAGTCTTCCTTCCAAAAGCCTGCCCTGAGCTACAAGCATGTGCTTCCTGTACTCTAATGAGCAGCAATGCTACTAAGGTCCTTCTAGAGTCCTGGCCAGGAGCATTGTCCCCTTGCTGCCCCCTGCTGCCCTCGGGCCCAAAATCGCAGGGAGGAAGACACTACAAACAGCGAGTAAAGTTCATACAAAACGGCAAAGGAAAGGGCACTTCGCTGAAGCCTGGTGAAAAATATTCAGATTGCGTCACAGAATCTACAACTCTATTCATCAGCCCAGTACCCTGGGGTGCTCAGTCCTGGGCTACTTCCAAGCGTATGGTTTTAGTTATTAAATTGTTAAATATTTTAACTTACAAAGGTTTTAAAAGAACGTAACACATCCTGGCAATGAAAGACTAGTGACTAAGAAAACTAACTTAATAAATAAGGAGCCAGCAGGTGGCACAGTGGTTAAGGCGTTGGACTCCCAAATGGCCAACTGTGGTTTGAATCCCAGACCCAGCACCCTGAAAGTCACCCCTGCCTGTGTGTGCATGCGTACTTAAAAATCCTGAGAGGAGACTGGAGAAGGACTGCAGTGTGGTCATCCGCCCTGGGGCGTGACTTCTCACTTTCTCTCTGTCTCTGTCTCTCTCTCTCTCTAGCAAGCGTACATGCCCTATAGCAAAAATCTCTCTAAAAACATTTAAAAGTAAGCTATCAAGCCATGAAAATACATGGAAAAAACTTAAATCTTTATGACTAAGTGAAAGAGGTCAATCTGAAAAGACTGTAGAATGCAAGATTCCAATTATATGACGTTCTGGAAAAGGCAAAATTATGGGTACCAAAAAAAGATCAAGTGTTTGTAAGGTTAGAGGGGATGATTGGGTGATGTGTAGGGCACAAGAATTTCTAAGCCAATGAAATTACTCTGGGGGCTGGCACGTGGCGTGGTGGTTAAGTGTGCGGGACTCCCACATGTCCGACCGCAGTTCGAGTCCCAGACCTGGCAGCTTGCTTTCTCACTTTCCCTCCCTCCCTTTTTCCCTCTCTCTCTCTCTTCCTCTCTGGTCAAATTAAAAATAAGTAAATAAAGTTAAATAAAATAATTATTTTTTTAAAAAGATAGAAAAGGAATTACGGTGGCACAGTGGTTAAGGCGTTGGACTCCCAAATGGCCAACTGTGGTTTGAATCCCAGACCCAGCACCCTGAAAGTCACCCCTGCCTGTGTGTGCATGCGTACTTAAAAATCCTGAGAGGAGACTGGAGAAGGACTGCAGTGTGGTCATCCGCCCTGGGGCGTGACTTCTCACTTTCTCTCTGTCTCTGTCTCTCTCTCTCTCTAGCAAGCGTACATGCCCTATAGCAAAAATCTCTCTAAAAACATTTAAAAGTAAGCTATCAAGCCATGAAAATACATGGAAAAAACTTAAATCTTTATGACTAAGTGAAAGAGGTCAATCTGAAAAGACTGTAGAATGCAAGATTCCAATTATATGACGTTCTGGAAAAGGCAAAATTATGGGTACCAAAAAAAGATCAAGTGTTTGTAAGGTTAGAGGGGATGATTGGGTGATGTGTAGGGCACAAGAATTTCTAAGCCAATGAAATTACTCTGGGGGCTGGCACGTGGCGTGGTGGTTAAGTGTGCGGGACTCCCACATGTCCGACCGCAGTTCGAGTCCCAGACCTGGCAGCTTGCTTTCTCACTTTCCCTCCCTACCTTTTTCCCTGTCTCTCTCTCTTCCTCTCTGGTCAAATTAAAAATAAGTAAATAAAGTTAAATAAAATAATTATTTTTTTAAAAAGATAGAAAAGGAATTACTCTGTATGAGACCGTAACAGTGGCTACATGCCATTACACACCAAGAGCAAATAACAAATGTATCACTGTGGTGGGGGTGTGATGGGGGAGGTTACGCATATCTGGGGGTAAGGGTGTTTCAGAATCTCTGCTCAATTTTGCTATGAACCTAAAACTGTTCTAAAACAATAAAACCTTTAGAAAAATGTAACAAACACCCAGGTTGGTCAGAATTGCTTCAGGAAGGGACCAGCAGATGGCGTCATGGTTACACTGGACTCCCATGTAGTCGACTGTAGTTCAAGACCCAGACGCGGCGGCTTAAAATTCAAGCCAGGTGCGTGTGCGTTTGTGCCTATGATCCCAAGAAGAATAGAGAAGGGATTGAAGCGTGGTCATGCCTCCTGGAGGGGGGGGTGATTTCTCGCTTTATGTCTTCCTGTCTCTCCAGCAAGCACACATGTCCTATAGCAAAAATCTCTCTTAAAACAAAACAGAAAAAGAATTGCTTCAGGAAAAAGAGAGAGAAAGTGAGAGGGGAGGGAGAAAATGTTACAAAGCTCTACTCTCCCTTCCTGCTTCTCTTCTCTGTAACTGCTAACACGCCCCAGCAAGGTT